AGTAGTAGTCGTGGTAGTAGTTGTTGCCGTAGTAGTTGTAGTAGTTGTAGTTGTTGTTGTTGATGTAGTAGTAGTAGTAGTAGTAGTAGCAGGAGTAGTAGTGATAGTAGTAGTAGTAGTAGTAGTAGTCGTAGTAGTAGTAGTAGTAGTAGTAGTAGTAAGTAACCCTGCCAAGAGCAACCCCAAACTCCTGCAATCTGCAGCTCAGCTGACTTCGGTAATTGAAGGTGCGTCTCATCTCGGATCATCCCTGGCAGGTCCTCAGATGAGCTTTACAATTTTGGGATTTGGTTTTGGGTCTGGGCTTTTAGGATTTTTGTGGTGGGCTAAGGGTGCTTAGGCATGCTAGCTTGGAGTTTTCGGTTTTAGATTCATGGTCTAGTCTAGGCTTGAAGGTAGAGGGTCGACCATCGTATCTTCCCACGAGAAATCCAAAACTCGACAGCCAACGTCCGTACCAGTTGACAACGGTCGGGCTAAGGAATCACGGATTAGGGCTTGGGGGTCATCCTGAAAGAGGATGAGCGGGACAACGATGGGCACATGCCTGCGCGCCGCACTGAGATTCATCCAAATGACACGTCTTCTGCGTAGTCAGCGAGACACACAGCTGTCTCTTTGCAAGCGCTTAACTCATTCACTACTTCAAGGATCATGGGACTTAGTAAGTAGGGTTATAACTAAGGTAACTACACTTACAACCCCAATTAGGGGACTTATAATCAGGGAAGGCCTTGCCCAGTTTAGGTAATTGCACCACCACGGCCCAAATCATAGCCATAATATCCTAAAACACTTTACCATATAGAAAATAAGGTGCAGTTATCCAAAATGGACAAGGTAAGGGGTCGCCCGTTTTGGGTTATTACATCACCGTGAACCTATATATATATATATACATATAAATAACAACTACCAGCTCATTATTCTACCTTATCCTATTTCTCAGGTGATGTAACATCCCGAAATGGGCAAGCTTAGGGTTATTCATTTTCTGGGGCATAGTATGGGGCTTGGAGGGTTGTTTCATTCAATAATAACTTAAGTTTATTATTAAATTATCATTGTATCAACATTTTTGTTTTAAGTATTCGCCGTAATCTTCTTCCATTTTCTGAATACTTATATTAATCCATTTAACAGCGTGTTTTGGTTTTGTATCTAAATATTTAGTGTCCGTGCTCCCTACACTTTGACATAGTATTTCAATATGTTCAATCAATTCTGAATATTTTTAATTAACTGTTTATCTTCTTGAATTTTATCTTTTAACATGTTAATATCACTCCTAATATTAATAACATCTTCGTCTTCAAATATACCTTCATATCTTTTCAATAATTTGAATAACTCGTCAATTTTATTCAGATAATCAGCTTCATTAAGCTTTATTTGATATATATTTTGATATATTTCAATTGTGTCTTATAGGTGTTCAGATTTGTATCATCCTTTTTCACTATAATATATTAAGTTATGATTTCTTCAAGTATGTTTCTTAAGAACATTTTCAAAAGAAAACTCCCATGTGCTCATTGCTTCCCTTTAAACTTATATTGGTAATTGTTATATAAACAACACCTACAAATTTTATTGTATACTTTGTTAGGACATTTGCTTACAAACTCTTCTACGTCTTTACGCGTATCAAATTCAACAACAATATTATCATCTAATGCACTCATTATTATTAGATGATAATATTATGCGTAGGTTTTCGTATTTGCGTCATACTTTATATTGTAATATTCAAGGGTGGTAGGTTTTGGTTGTAAAATTTCCTTGTTTTTCAGTTTGTTTAAATAAACGTTGTTTTTATTCTCGTATGTTGCATCTTTATCAACTGGCGTTCTGTTAAAGCTTCTTGTAGACCTTTCATTTAATAATTGTTCAATCCTTTCTAGTCTCAGTATGACATCCTGCTTGAACTCAAGTTTATCACCCATATACCAATATAAAGATTAAACTTTTATAATAAAAGTTTTATTATAAAACTAATTGTCAACACTATCTTATGTAGCACCAATTAAGTAAGTGTTCCAAGATACTCCCCGTTCTCTTACCCACTTACGATGTCTGGGGCTTACAATTTGCACGAGCATAGCAACGGGCGCACATTCGGGGTGTTTCGTCCTCTTCCACTTTTACTTTTTCATTTCTTTCCGGAGAATTCAAAAGAACTATACAACTGTCAATGTACATTAGAAAGTAATTTTTAAATCATTTAAATTTTCTATGTATTAATAATAATGTCAGACGTTCCATTTGCTAAACCAGTTAATGTTGAAGAATATGATTTCAAACAATCTAAATACGAAATTGCTCCGAGATTACCATTTAGTCAAATAATTATTGGTCCTTCAGGAAGTGGTAAAGGTATAATATTACAATCAGTGATATTAGATATTTCTCGTGATGTCTTCACTAGAATATACATATGGTCGCCGTCAATTTCAGTTGACAGTAATTGGACACCAGTTAAAAAATACATTCAAGATAATTTAAAGGTTGATTTAGAAAAAGGAAAATTTATGTTTGATGAATACATACCAGAAGAATTGGAAGCAGTGATAAAACGTCAACATAAAGTAATAGAATATCAGAAAAACAATGACCATAACAAATTACATCCAATATTAATTATTGTGGACGACTTCGCAGACAGTGAGGCTTTTTCAAGAAACTCACCTTTGTTAAATCAGTTGTATGTTAGGGGTCGCCACAACAGTCTCAACATAATAACAAGCACTCAAAAATTTAATGCATTATCACCTATTATTCGTGTTAATAGTCGTCAGTTATTCTTCTTTAGGTTAAGGAACTACAAGGAAATAGAAACGATGGTTGAAGAATTAAGCGCGTATTAATTAAAAAAATCTACCGTGGCTGATGCTAAAAACCTGACAGAAGCAAAGAAACTATTATTAGAACTTCATAATATCGCAACAGAAGAACCATATAGTTTATTATTTATAAACCTTATGAAGCCAGATGTGAATGATATGTTTTATAAACGATTTGACGCTAAATTAGTGATTGATGATGAAGACATACAAAGAAATAACACATTATAAGATATTATAAGACTTATGCCTAGACAAGCAATAGACTACAGTAAAACTCATTTTTACAAAATCGTATGTAAAGAGTTAAAAATAACAGATTGTTACGTCGGTCATACAACAGATTTTACAAAAAGGAAGCATTCACACAAACAAGCCTGTATTAATCCTAATTTGAAGCATCACAACCTTCAATTATATCAAAGAATTAGGGACAATGGAGGGTGGGATAATTGGGATATGTTTTTAGTAAGCACAGAAGGCGTCGCTAATTCATTAGAAGCGAGAAGAAGGGAGCGGGAAATTATGGAAGAATTACAAGCAAACTTAAACATGGTTCGTGCTTCCAGAAGCAAAGAGGAAGCAGATGAAGTAGGTAGAGAGTTTAGGGAAAATCATAAAGAAGAAAAGAAAGAATATGACAAAGCATATCGTGAAAACAACCAGGAGGACAGACAAGAAATAAGCAGAATATACCGTGAAAGCAACAGAGATAAATTACTCGCTAAACTGTGCTTGTGGTAATACATATGTTAATAAAAGCAAGTCAAGACATGAAAGGAGCAACAAACATCAACAATATCTTAAAACGTTAGAACCAGTTGATTAATAATATTATGAATAAATAATATTATCCGTCATATTATTGAATAGACACAAAGTGTGACAGGTGGCAACTTATAACATATTTTATCACTCTTCTTTTCCTTTACTTCTTTCATATCTTTTATTATTTCTTTTAATGCTTTAATCTGTAATTTATCAATATTGCTTAAATCTAATTCCTCTTCATTAATATTCTTTATTTGATTAATAGAATCGTTCTCATTATCACCTTTTGAAATTTTACTCCCCATATATAAACAATTATACTATTCCTAATTCTTTTAATAATTCCTCTGTTTGAACTTTAACCTTTGCTATTTCTCTCCAATTATAAAAACTAAAATATAATGTTAATAGCTTTCTTGTATATTTCTTTGTTATATTGAATATCTTAATTTTTGTTTTCTTTTCAATATGTTTATCAAATAGTTTTATCATTATTATTGATTAGAATTTATTTATAATTAATCACTTTGACTATCTCTGTTATTTTTATTTTTATTTTTCAACTTCGTTAACTCTCCTTTTAAAGCGGTTATTTCTTTTTGCATTTCTTGCACAAAACCCCAAAGAACAACAGTCATTTTATTATATGCTAATAATTTGGTTCTATCATCATTATAATATAATATGTTATCCCATTCTTTCGGCATTTTAGCATCTTTAATATCATCTGCTATAAAACCAAGATTACTCTTTTTGTCTTCATCCTTAGTAAAATTATATGTTTTAGGTTTAATATATTTAACTACTTTATAACACTCTTTCGTGTTAACCTCCTTTATGTTCTCTTTCAGTATAGCGTCTGATGTTTCTGTTAAAGCAACACACGATACATTAACTCCAATGTCTGCGTTGCCCGTTGTTGTTAAAATACCATATACATCTACCCCTGTTGTTGTTGCGTCTAATCTTGATAATCCGCTATTACTTAGTCTAATCCATCCGTTATCGTCTGGATTATTTATTGTTACTTTTTGTGCTCCTGCATCATCAATATGTGTAATTTCTAAATTTCCTAATATATCTACTTTTCCATCTGTCAATTTAATTTCTATTCTACTATCTAAACCGACAGTTACATTAATATCTCCTAATGTATCACCATTTCTAACAAATAATTTATATTGTCCATCTAATACTTCCTTAAATTCGCTACTATTTTGAAACATAAACCTACCCCAACTAATAACATCAGCTTCACCAACGATATTACCAATACTATGAAATGTTTGATTATTTGTAACTGCTCTATTACTAGTAATTCCGTTAGTGTCGTTTAATTGAAGTGCTATTGTTCCTGTTGTAGGGTCGGTTGTTCTGTCACTTTGAAGACTAAAATTAATTTCTTCTGTTGATATTACATTTAATGAATTATTGGCGTCCGCTCGTTGAAATATTCTTCCATCAGTGCTTAATAACTGTTGCCCTAAAAATGTGGCATCGTTTTCTACTCTTGTTTCGTTAAAATTACTTACACCGCCTACTGTTAAATGATATGAAAAATTGTATTGTCGTCCTATTCCTACTGTTGCTGTTGTTGAGCTTCCTATACGTAATCTATTATCGCCTCCTGTGTCGTGTAATATCAT